GGCTGAGGAGGGTGCGCCCGCCTGGCGGTGCCTGCCCGGTCCCCCGAGGCCGTCCCTTTCCTGCGTGCGAACGGGGCCTTGTCCGAGCCGACGGTTCGTCGGTTCATTGAGGCAGGGCACGGTGGCCTTGGGGCGGAGTGCGGGCCTGGGCCTGGTGGCCGAGTCCCTGACGCCTAGGGACTTTCAGGGGTGGGGGGTCACAGGCAGCGGCCAGCGCTTGCAGGTGGATGAGAACGATGCCCAACAGTAGTTTGGCAGTATGCTTTCACTTGCATGTTTCTTAGTATAACCCAACTGTCAGTAGTGTTTTTAAAGTTCCTTCATACTCCCACACTTCTCTAGAGGACCTTATTTTCTTCAGAAGTGCTTGTTTATATACAAGCTACCCTTGCTTATTTTGCTCTCCGTGTATTTTTGCATGTTCTGAGAGAAAATGATGGGCTTTTTTTTTTTTTTCTCCCTTACAAGTTGCTTTGCACAGAACAATGGATGATGAGGGGAAAAACTATGTTTCTGCAGAAGTGTCCGATGCGTTGGAATCAGTTTCTTTTCTGAAGGTAGTGGGTAAACCCTCACCTATGGAGTCAACAGTATTGCCTAATACAGAGGAACAGGAGGTGTGGATTGGTTTTGTAATGTGTCTTCTGATTATGCTTTTTTTTTTTTTTTAAAGCTTTAATTCTGGCAAGTATTTCTTTGGTAAGAACTGCTGTATTTCTCTGCTCCCAAGATGTGTTTGATGCTTCTGTTTACTTCTCATTACTTACAAATAGATCATAGCTAGTAGCAAATGCAGATGGTCAATGCTCATGATGTGTTGTGCTAAGCTTTTGAGAAGGAAGTAAAGGACTTCAGTAATTGCACTTTGAATGTAATGCGACTGTACTGGGTTTTTTTTTACTAAGCTAAAGAAGGATATAGATCCTTGTTGAAAGCTTGTTAGGTGCTTGGAAATAAAAATCTATAATGCTGTGCTGCAGTACACTTTTGAAGATAGCATAGCCATCTCTGCTTTTTCAGAATGGTAGGTTTCCTGATTGAGTTCCCTCAGGTGACTTAGTTGTGTATGATTAGTGGAGTGCTGGTCATGGGAGGGCTGTGGAGACCTCTGGTAAATCCATCTGCTGAATGAACAAGTTGCCAAAGTAGGGACTTTGAAGCTCCGTGAGGAAAGAATGCTGGGATCCCTCTAGAAATCTCCCTGCTATTATCCCTTTACGTGGATGGGGAGACCTTTGTATAATGGTACGGAATGGAAAAGCCCACCTTAGCAACTGAGAACTATTTCATAGTTGTTGCTGTGAGGAAGATGAGGGGCTAGTGCCTGGATGGTGGTAATGAAGCGGCCTCTTGAGGCTAAGAATGTGTCAATCTATCAACTGAACATGCTCCATACAAAATGGAAGTGCAGTTCTGCAGAGCAGCTGTTAGAAAATACAGCTCGAATTCAATATAGAGGGAGACCAGAAGGTGGAAGCAGTGCAGTTTATACTTCCAATAGTGTGCTTTTTTTAAATCAAAATCTTGGCTTTGTTATAAAAGAATACTAAGGGGGGATGGGGACCAAAAAAAGGGTTACTTAAGGACATTAGGAGGTAAAGAAGCAAATGAAAGCTTAGGGTCTGAACTTCACAAGGAAGGAGAAAGTGGGGCAGTAAGATAAAATAGGAAATACTGCATCAGAGATGTATGCTAATATGATTTGGGGGTGTTCTGCTTAAAAAGTGGCCGTTATAACTGTGTATTTTTGTTTTTTAATGAACAGGCATATCAACCTTTGAAAGTCTTCTTGAGAGTGAGGCCCTTTTCTATAGCAGAGCTTGAAAACCATGAATCTCAGGTTAGTTGGAGAATTAAGAAGTAAGTTTTTCTTCTCCACCAAAGAACACCTAGTATTGTAAACTGGGACTTTCTTTTATAAAAGCCATGTACTGCTTCCAAATAGAATTAGTGGACACCTGCATAAACGTGACTTTTTTATTTTAATCACAATTTTTACTAATTTGCATGGTACAGACATGCACACCTGTAGCTCTGCAAAGTTCCACTGGGTATGTTATTTAAAAGTTGGTGTCACTCTTGACTCAAGAAACAAAGGAGTTTCATGGAAGAGATTATGCAATTCTAGTGTTAATTCAGGTATCTGACCCTTGAGTTTCTTTCGAATGCCTGAATAGTCTGCTATCTCGTCATGGTGACTTGCTGCTCATACTGTCAAATTTTTCTGTAACCTCTAGGGTTTATACTGTCAGATTCAGATGCTTCAGCGTTTTACACAGACATACATGTGCACATGCAAACACACAGAAATACTCCTCCTCCCCTGGCTCCCCCCATTCATTGTGAATACTGATGCAAAGAATTCATTTAGCTGTCCTTGGAGGACAAGGTGTCTACAGCGTATCTCTCAGCCCTCCTGTTCGCAGGATCTCACAGGCTCTCTGTTAGACCTCTTGTTCCTGACCTGTTTGGAGGAGGATTTAATGTTAGTTCTGATTTGCTTCTTACAATTTGCTTTTTAAAAATGTGTTCTTGCATTTGATCTGCCAGAGTTGGAACTTCTGTATTTTTTTCACTTAGATTTTTTTTCCCCCCCTTCAACTTCCATTCACCTTTCCTTAGGCAGTTCTTGTTGAGTAGTATGCACTGCTACAGTGCTTCCAGTTTGCTATTATTCAGCAATCTGAGCTGGCTGTAAGGATAAATTGATTTACAAAATCAAATTGTTTTACAAGTTGTTTATCTCCGTTCCTCTTTGCAATGGGAAATTTTTGACTACCTGACCGTTAGTGAAACTACTTTTCTTAAAAGCAGGGAGGGAGGAAAAAAGTAAGTGTTGAAGTTTGGACTAGATTTTTTTAAAGCTCTTGTCTTCATGTAGTTCATGGTGAAATAGTTGATCTTCCAACATACTAGCTGTATAACCTGTTTTGCATGGTATGAAGGCTTTTTCCTCAGCCTCCAAAAACTATGAATGCTTGAAAGATCTTCAACATCTTCAATGTTTTCTACTCTTTTAACTATCACCTGAACCTGTGAGGAAGACGCTTGGTAACAAATGAAAAAAAAAAAAGCCAACCAAACAAAAACCCTTTCCCATCTCTATAATCAATGGGAGATCAACTTAATTTTATGTTCTTTTTTCTTCCCTGCCATGCATAATTTTCAGGAAAGCATCTTTGTTCCAAATATGCAACGAGAAAAGAAAACAGTAGAACCCAAGCCCTGTTTCTTATAGCTGTAGACTGATGCTTTAAATAGAGATGGGCAACAGGTTAACTGATCTGTTGTTGCTCATAGAGATAATGATTTATGCAAGTAAAACTTAAGAGCTCTAGATGAAATTCTGTACTCTTAATACAACTGCCAGTCATTCTCTGGAGTCACCCATGGGAGAGCAGGAAGTTCTGCTCTTTGGATATGAATGATGTGTACAGTGCCAGAAGTGGTCCAACTGCTGACAACTTACCTGCGGGGTTAGCTGGGGGAGACAACGAGAGTGACGTGTTACCAGCTGGATTCCAGCTCTGCAGATCTGACTATTTCAACGCCTCTACTCACGAGGATCTATGAGGCCAGTGGCAGCTGATGGCACATGCTGCTGATGTTGGATTCTTCTGTAGCTCTCTAGGATTCAGCACATCTGACCTGCGTTCTTGTTCCTGGCAATGTGGGAGGAATGTTAAAAGAGTATATGGATTTAGAGCCTAGGACAGTGAGCAAGTGATTGGTCTAAATTCAGTACCCAGCTTCTTAGAGCTTCTATACCAGTTGATAAACAGACTTATTAATTGAGACTCCTAGGAAGAGCAGTACTTCCTATGTACATGCTACACATGGATTATTAGCCTTACCAGCTCTGGCTAGCCTCTGAACATAAATGTCAGATTTAGTTATAATCAATCCTTGCGGCTGATGGTTCAAGACACTGTTAAGCTATACTGGTAGTTCAGTTTGTATTTTTGGTAGCCTGTCTGATGTAAAATAAATTTTCCTGGGATACTGCATTCTACATTCATCTAGTTAGTGAGTGCTAGGTAATTGCATCTCCCCTTTACTTAATTGAGAAATATCAGTAACTGAGCAATCAAATTACTTGAAACTAACTTAGTTTTCTTCATTACTGATAACACCATCTATCAGTCAAAGGATAATGCTTCAAACTATTTTACTTTATTTATGCTGGTCATAGCTTGTTTCACACTTGAAGTGATTGAAGTGGAAAACCAGTAGATTTCTATATAGCTTTGTTTTCATAGCTAGGATCGTGCAAGCCACAATCACAAAATACTAGGGTTTAGAAAATGTTTCAAAAAAAAAAGTTGCTGGAAGGAATCCTAGAAAAATTTTCTCTCTCTTAGAAAAATCTAGACGATTGCCTTAACTTTGTCTTTCTGGCTTTCATGTGAAGTGGATGTATCTGTAGTTGTTACATGCCTCAAGAGAGATTATGTGTAAATTTTGCAACTCTTTGTAGCTCTGATAAATAGGTGAAAACACTTGGGGTTTTGTTGTTTTTTGGTTTTGGTTTGTTGGTGGGGTTTTTTTTTTCTCCTCCAGATAGCTTTCTTCCTAAATAATTTTGTGTGGTGTTTTGGTTTACCTTGTCTTGTTTTTTAAGGGTTGTGTAACTATTGAAAATCCTCAGACAGTGATTCTTAATGCACCCAAAGAGTCTTCTGCAATGAAAAACAGTGAAAGAGGGATTGGTCATTCTGTGCACAGGTTCACCTTTTCTCAGGTAGGCAAACTTTTTTCTAATTTTTAGTTATATGTTTTTTTTCCCCGCTGTAATGATAAAAATTGAATTTTCTACTGTATCTTGCATTGTTATTTTTCTTCTTTAAACTACATGTGGTGGTACTTGCCTTAAAAATCCAGACTGCTTATTATTCACTGTTAGCCTGTCAGGAAAGCTGTATTACAATGGAGGTGCCTATTAGATGAGACAAAGAAGCTTCTTTGGTAGCTCTGTTGTTTTCTTTGATTAGATGCCACAGAAGCTTCTTGTAGGCACAAACTTACAGTGGTTCTGCTGTTCCTGCAGATGCCCTTGTCTGGGAAGTGTTACAGGAAATCACCTGTTTAAAGGGACTTATGTAAGCCTGTGTTTAGGGACTTAGTTTTGAAAGAATAGCAGCCTAACTGCTTAAACCTTCCATACTGGAAGTAAGTTTCTTAACTCTGTTACCTACTGCAAGAACTTCTGTTCTTACAGCATCAAAACATAAACAGCTCCAGGCGTTGAGTCATTTAGACTATTGTAATGCTGATCTTCTCATCAATTGTAGGTGACTGGTATGGAGTGAGGAGGGAGTTGTGCATCGCTAGCAGAGCTCTTGAAAGTATCCACTAAACAGGACGTGCTCAGTAGCATTCCGAGTAGTTTATTTTAGGAGTAGGACAATATTCAAAAATAAGTGGAAACCTGAGTGCCTTTCAGAATTAAGCAGGTATCCTATGAGAACCCAACAGAAAACATTGAATCAGAAGGGGTTCAGGCAAGACAGAAAACAAAGCTGGTATATCCTACTCAGCTTGCTCTGAAAAACTAGTCACTATTAATCAGTGCGTAATATTTTGACATATTAAGCTTCTTGGTGCCATTTATCACTCCTTTTGTTCTTTCTCTTCTGTTCTTTTTTTTTCCTTCTTCAAGGTCTTTGGACCAGAAACTACTCAGAGCGAATTTTTTGAAGGCTCAATGAAAGAGATAGTAAGAGCGTATGTTAATGGAGTGAATGGACTGGTGTTTACTTATGGGGTTACAAATGCAGGCAAGACATTCACTATCCAAGGTATAAAATGTTTGCCAAAAAGCATATATAACAACCGAGTCAAGATCCAATGAGAAGTTTGTATGAATGTCTACATTTTATCTTTTGTTACTTTTAAGGGACTTCAAAAGATTTTGGTATTTTACCTCGCTCACTTGATGTGATTTTTAACCACATAAGGGGAAGACATTACCTGAAGATGAACTTCAAACCATATTTGAGCAACGATGTTAAGAAACTAGAAGATGCACAAGTTAAGCAAGAAGAAGCCATAAAAACTGCTATTCTTGCATCACTGAAAGAGGTCAGTGACCAAATACTTCCTTGTTACTGAATGAAGCTTCTTAAAAACTTCTTGTCTAACAGACTATCTTTAATAAAAGCTCTGTTTCACTATTGATTCTTTAGATTTAGATAAACCTACAGTATGGATAGTTGGTGAACCTTGGAATAATAAGGCAACTGGCTTTTTTTTGGAGCTCAGGGTAAACTGGAAGAACTTTCTCCAGCAGGCAGCACACAGTTCAAACCAAAAACCATTGCAAAGCCAGGATTGCCATAGAGGAGCAGTTATGACACTGTGGTCACACTAGCCCTTGAAAAGTCTCTGAGAGCTGACCTATCTAAAACCTGCTTCTTGTTAAGTGAAACGTCTTTTGGGTCAGGTTCCCAGGCTGGATCTCTGGGCAATTGCTCAAATTCCAGTACTAGCTCAGGAGAGTTGATGGCAGTGTCTTAGCAGGGGCAGCGAAGAAGGCAGAAGAGTCCTTTTTTGTGGAAGACTGTCTTAAGGCAGATTAAAGAGTTGGTAAACCTGTGATTTATGTAAGTTCATAAAGAAACTTTTCTGATACAGCAAGTTGAAGTGAGATGCCACAAAATTAATTTCCTAAAAGGATTACAGCCTGCTTTAGAAGATTGTATGTATCTTTAACTCTGGTTTCTGAAGGTACAATAGAGGAGTCTTTACCGTGGCAGCCTCCTGTTCTCATTATCTAGTCATTTCTGTTTCCAGTGTAAATGGGTCTCACCAGAAAATGGGCACCCTTGCGTGTGTGACTGTTCTATACTTCTAAGCCCAGCTGCAAATTGTCACAAAATGTCTGGCTTTTTTTCCTTATGTTCAGAACATTTTTAACCTGAACTGTGAGCCTACTGCGTTTTGGGGTTATGACTCAAAGCAACTCTGAATGAATTCTGGGAAGTATAGACATAATGATTGACTGGGTTTTCTTTTTTCTGTGGTCTTTAGTTGTTAAAGTACTCCAGTTAGCTCTGAAAGAATATCCTTCTATGAATCAAATTCATATGTAAAGTTCCACTCTAAATTCTATTGCTTAATTTAAACTCTGCAAACAGAATTTTGTTTAGCTGAGTCTGGTTAACTTTTGAGGAAGGACCTCAGCTGAAAAATCTAAAAGATGCTAAAGATCACGTATTTATTTTGAGAGTGTCTTAAAAGCTTACTCACACTGTGTGTGTGTATGCACAGGGGTGAGGGTCTTGAAGAAAAATTGAGATGGTCAGGAGGATAGTAGGTAAACGTTTTAAAAAACTTTATGGAACTTACAAGCTTGCAAGAAGAAACAAGCAGGAGCTCAAGGTCTAGAACAGGAAGTCAAATATCTTATTTTGAAGATAACTCTATACAAATATTCCTTTCTGTTAAATCACCATCTGACTTTATTAATAGTTTAGTTACTGAATGTTGCAGTAGGTGATCTAGATGCTGATGCACTACAGTGAAAAGCAAGCAAGACTCCACCATCAAGAAGGAAAGGTAAAAATGCATCTAGAAAATAATACATGACAAGACCTTGCTTATGTGTTACAATGCGTCCATAGTGATAGCTAAGCTATCCCCAGTACTGAAGCTGTGCTTCTTGCTAGCTTGTGAATAGCATCAGTGTTCGGATGTTCACTCAAGCTTGTAATCTGAGAGCAGATACGGTTTGGTGGGCTTGGTTTTGGTTTACGTGGATTTCTGTAGGCCCTTTTCCCAGGCTCAGTTTACATGTCATGCAGAAAGAGCTGTTCCTTTCATTCTCTCAGTTTAAACTGCTCTGAGTTACTGCAATACCCTTGTATTTAATGTTCTACTGTTTATGTTCTTTATACAGTATTGCTGCAAAAACTCTTGCTTGGCATGGTTCACGCCCTCTCTTTCCTTCCTTTTACTTGTTCTATTCACTGGATTAAATACTGGTTTTTACTGGATTGAAAGCTGCTTTACTTGCATTCCTATTCCCACCTGTCCTCGTATTTGCTATTAAATGTCAGCTTCTGTCACTGGCAAACAATGTCAGTTCCTGTTCCCACTTGTTTTCAGGCAGTCATCTTCATGTTCTTTTCTGTATTTGGTCTTGTGATTTGAAGAACAGTATAACAACATAGCTAATTCGCTCAGTTTTGTTGAAATACCTTTACAAAAACTTATCATGTGCACAAGTACTGTGGTACTGGGTTTTTTACTTTCCATTACATTTTTGACATGCATAGATGTGTCGTGCGTGTCAGTCCCTTACCCTGCTTTAGAATCCTGCTTTGTACTTTACAAACAGAATGAAGAGAATCCTGCTTTGTACTTTACAAACAGAATGAATAGAATCCATGCTTGTGGTTATACTTGTAACTACTCAAGCAACATAAATGTATAGACAGTGCAGTCTTTGCAAAATGGTCATTTATAAAATAAATGACAATGAAATCATATGCTATTTATCTTGAAAACAGAAGACCTGAAAGTATGGCTTCATACTTTTCTGTTTGTAAAAATTCCATTTTGAATATACCAAGTGAGTAATACAGGGATCAGTAGACAATCCGTAATGAACTTAGCACTGCATTCTAATACCTAGAACATTAAGGTTTACTTCTTTGAATCTGTTCCCCTCTTCTGCTGTAGGATGACCCTCTATCAGGATTGGGTTTTGGGAAATCAGGGTGAATGTCCTAATGAAAATTTATATCAGTGTATAAAATACGGGGAGGGAGGTAGTACGTGGAGATGTTGGAATCTCTAAATAGTGGGAGTTGCTACTTTGTTACACCAGTTTTCCTAGGGGTAATTTGAAGCCTATGCTTTGACAAGTCTTGGCAGGTTTTTAAATAATTTTGTTGATGTAAAGAAATTCAGCAAATATGTGTACTTAAAGAAACTGTGCTGTTATCTGTCCAGGATTTTTAATGGCCTTTTAATTCAGTCTGAATTAAACCAACATAGACTGTTGGTTTATCAGATCTTTAAGTCCTTTATGAAGCTATCATTTCACTCTGAGGTCTTAAAGTAAGTTTGACTCAAACTCTCACAGATGTAACACAAGCCTGTGATTTGCAAAAGTGATTGGCAACAAGCAAGCGAATTAGGAATCTCTGCTCCTTTAGTCTGTCTTTTGCCCACCACCCTGCCCCTGAAAGAAACTTACTTTTCCAGTTCTTTTTGTTGACTGAAATACTGTTCAGATTTGTCCAGTAGTTCATAAAGGCATTCTGGGCTGTCGCAGTCTGACAGAGGATCTTGGTTCTCCCAGAACTGTAAAGTAAGTCTCCTATGTTAGCAGCAATTGGTCTCCAAACAGGTTGCTGGGAGTAGCAGAGAGAAATAATTCTTGTAAAGGAAAGAGCATTTACTGATTTTTAGTTTGGTATTGTTAAAAACATTTCATTTGCAGCCAGAGTAAGGGTGGCTTAACACTTAATACTACTTCAATATTTAAATCTTAAATACTGGAATTACTGTCATTTTTTACTTCGGCTATTCTCATAGTCTGTTCATGTGGATGTAATGGTCTCTTATTTTCTCAAGGAGACAGAAAGCATCTCAAATACTATTACAAATATGTGTGATGTGGAGTCGGCTTCTTCCAACTGTACTTCAAAAAGTCTTCCTTCTGAATCACTAGGTAAAATAAAGTGGAAAAATTTTGTGGGGAAAAAAAAAGAATAGAAATTTAGGAATATAAGTGGGTAACTTAGTGGATTAAAAAATCTCTATACTATATTACAAAGTAAATAGATACAGTTTTTTAACCAAATTTTAATGCCTCAACTCAGGAGAAAGAGTAACAATGTAAAAATATTTTGATAGCTTTGCTCCTTTTGGGGGAAGAGGGAGGATTATTTCTGCAAAGCTAATGTATAAGCTGCTGGAAGCTTGTGGTAGACGGGGGCAATAGCTTAGAACTTGGGCATGTTCTGGTTACAGGTGACTGCTGAGAATGTTTGAATGTTCTTGGGTAAACTCAAAGTTATGCAGTATTGTGTATCTCATTGTACAACATAGATATATACAAGCCGCCTCCTTTTAGAAGGTTCTATATACTGCAATTAACATTTACCAATGAGTTGTTTGATCATTGAACTCTTTCTCTGTTTTGGGTTAGCAGAGAACAACTTTGTTCCACTTGACGTATATAGGACGAATATACACCAAAGAACACAAGCATCTGTGTGGATTTCCTTTTGTGAAATTTATAATGAATATGTGTATGACCTATTAAATATATTATCTACATCAAAAACTCAAAAGCGTAGAGTCTTAAGAATTTGCGAGGATCAAGGAGGAAATTCTTATATTAAAGGTAATAATATTGTTTTATGACCTCAGCAGTTTCACAGAATTTCTTTGATGATCGGAAGTGTATATAAAAGGTCTCTTTTCACAGACTTAAAGTGGATTAACATTCAGAGCACTGAAGAAGCCTGCAAAATACTAAAAATAGGAAACAAGAACCGAAGCTTTGCTTGTACTAGAATGAATGAGCAGTCAAGTAGGAGGTTTGTTCCTCTATAAGCATACTCTGTCTCTTTTAAGGGGAGCGAGGAAGGGGAGGGAGGAGAAGACTTTAGAATATGTTTGAAATGAGCCACTCTTCAATAATAGCTTAAGACTTTCCTTGATTATTCTGGTTTTATGAAATTCTTTCTGGAGGAAAGATAGGAGAGGCCCTATGACTTTAATAGTAGCTGGACTTGGGTTGCTATTCATGGCTTTGGACAACCAGAAAGATCAAATCACATTCATTTTTGAGTGCCAACAGGGCTATACATCTTGGCAAATGCTAATGGTGCTGAGTGGGAATGGCTTTGTGAGGATGTTGAAGGAAAAGCTGAATAATTCTTCGTCACTGACAGTATAATTCTTGGAAACCTGAAGACTGTCAGTAGGGGATGTAGGAAGGAGCGAGTCATGCAGTACCTTTCAGTGCTGCTAGATTATCTAGATGCTTTTAAATTGCTGTGTTCTAGCTGAGCTTACTTGGTATCTTAAGAATTAAGCCCCTAGCTCTTACCCAGCTCTGGAAGATGGGTTGGGGAGAATCTGGTTTGATGGAGTGGGAGGAAATAAATGGAGAAGGTGGTATACTTTCTGTTGAAAATGCCTTCTTACTTGATTTTAATGCCCTCTTATTAATTTGTCCTTTAAGTGTGGAAGGGCCATGTTGTATATTTAGCTAATATAATCATAGTGATACTAAGCCTGCTTTTTCTCTAAAAAGCAAGAGTTATGCTGTTCTGTATTAGCTAAAGACAGCTGCCATTAACTTTCATGCTATGATTCCACCTGAATTTCTCTCAGGCCTAAAGTAGTGCAGAAAAGAACTGTGTTTTTCTGGCAGAGTTTTGTGCCTAGCATGTCCTCCTTTTGCTCCAGAGAATATGCTGACTTCCACTTAGCTAGTTTCTAAATTGTGTTTTTGTTTGGTTTTGGTTTTTTTAGAAACTTCATTCTTAAATTGTGGGTTGGTGCTGAGGAGTAAAGCACTGCTTTAAATATATACTAGAGAAGTTTGTCTTTTTGTGCTTCCTGATTTACTGGATACACTGGGGACAGGGCATTTCTGGTTCTGGGACTTGCTTTGGTTTCAGACAGTATGTCCACTGCCTTTGTAGCTTGATATCTAAAACAGAATAACTGGATTTTCAGGTGTTACAAATTCAACCTTTCTAGAAAACAGAATAATTTTAAAACTGAACAAATAACTGTGTATGTTGAAGTAGGCAAAATTACAGGACTGTTGAACCTTAACTTGTTCCCTTCACCCCCATCTATTTATTTTTATTCTGAAGAAGTTAATTCTTCAGGTTTACTGAGTTCAGATACTGTCTAAAGTTTGTACATGAGGTGGCTACCTGATACTACTGATCTTCTGATCAGTAGGCTTAAGTGAACCGGCTTGTTCTTTCTCCAAGACAGCTTGTAGGCTTCGTGTGATATTTTTCCCTTTCCTGTACTGAAAGAAACGGAAAGTCACAAAATACAACTTTTATTGCTGCTTTTTGCTGCTAAATGAATGTATTGCGAAGTAACTAATGTAAATTAGTGAATTAATTCTTGTTCTTTCTTCAGTGAAACTTTCTGTAGTGTACAAATTTTACTTTGCTTCAGTGACTGCTTAATTTTCATAATTGTGGTTATTAAAAAGGACTTCTTTCCATTCCAGTCACAGTATATTTTCAATCAGGCTACTAAAGCTAACTGATGAGCATCAGCCACGTGTTCTTGGAGTTTCAGAGTAAGTAAATGCTTCAGCTGATTACCAGAATGTAAATATTTTAGAAAAGTTGATAAGGTGTAAGCATGCTAAACTGGTGAACTTTCTTTTAATAAATCCTGTGAGAGCTGAGAAGGAAATCAGAACTCCACTGGTTGCATAAAACTGACTGGAAACCTGATAGGGACAGGTGTAGAAGTGTTTCCCTGTCTCTTTTATTCTGTTAAGGTTTGGCTGAAGGAATGTGTTAAAACTCCGTCGATAATGTATAAATTGAGGGAAATATATGTATATCGTCTTACATAATGGGGAGATGGGGACAGAGTAGAACTATGTAATACCACACTATATATTCTGGTAATCAGAATTCAAATGGCGGGCTGATATATGCCAATCTCTAAGGTCTAAGCGCAGCAGCAAGTGCTGAAGAACACTGGCATAGCTTGCACCTTGGGTCTTTCTACTTTGGGACCAGACTAGAGTTTATGGATTGAATGTTTGTGGCAGCACATTTGATGTGCTCCTGGAATGCAAATTCAAGTCTGTCATCCAAAAAGAATGCAGGTGATGTGCTCTGGGACTGCTCCATGGTACAATCTAAACAAATCACCTCTTAGTGTAAAAACTGTTCTCCTGATCTAAAATGCTAATGTAGGTGCATCGTGTGAGAGCAGTGCTAAGTCCTTACACCTCTCTGTTCTTTTGTGATTTAGAGGAAGTGGTTTGGAGCTGTTTGAAGCCATTTAGATAGCTTTTTCGTTTCTCTTTTCCCTGATTAATTGTCCATTTAACTTGATACGGAAAAATGAGGACAGTCCTTGAACAGAGTGTTTTAGTTCAGTCATAGCTCCTACTGATTTCTCTCTTGTCTCTGCTGAGCAGATTTGGTAATAAATATACCTCACTGTGAGATAACACCTTTTAATGTCAGATGTTATGGTGATAAATACTCTAAGAAAAGATAACTTGAGGAAATGACTGTGTCTGTATTCCATGCTGTAATGTGTCTTGATGTATTCCCCTGGCAAAGCTTGCAGCAGCTGTTAGATGAAGACAGAGTTTGTACGTTGCTTAAGGAAGAAAAAAAGCTCTTCATCTTGTACTGAAAAGGATAAAGATCATAAGATCGTAGCCTTTCACACAGTTGAAATATGTGCCTTATTAACATGTGTAGTATTAACATGTACTTATTTCAACTGTGTGAAGGGCTATGATCTTACAAAGGTGTTACTTTATGTAAATATGTAAATAAATACTTTATGTATACTTTATGTATGTATAAGTGAGTAATAGTTAGGTTACATAAATTATCTAACTTCCAGAGATTCTTGTATTTCAAGGGATTTCTTTATATTAAGTAAAAGTGATGAAATTCCTTCTTTATCCGGGATAATTCTCTGATTGTAATCTATTGTACCATGAGGGACAACTCAGTGGCCTGAGCTTAGTAGCACTTAATTGCTGTAGCCAAAGAGCTCTAAGGTGATCTTGGAAGGACTTCTGGCCTCTTAACTTGCAATAGGAAACAAATTGTTCTGCATCCAAAAGAGGCAGACTGCAGTGTATTGAAGCTGACTACTATCTTGCCAGTGCTGGAACTGGTGAAAGTCAAAGTGCTTCTGTAGTATAGCCCCACTATGCGAAACTATTTCAGAAATTCCTCTTGTGTGGAAGCATGCATGTCTTGTCTTGTCTTGTCTGGAAGCATGCATTTTAGGATTGCAACAAAATTTGGGTTCCTAAACTGAATGCTTACAAAGTTTTAAATGAAGCCTACAAGCAGACTTCTTTGAATGTGCTGAATAAACTGTCTTAGGAGCAGCAATCTTGTTCAAGTATCTTTATATGCAGTGGGAAGATAGGTTAGTGCTGTTATCTTAAAAACCTTGTGTAGTGTGTTCCAGACAAAATGTCAACATTAAAGTACAACTTACTCTGTGATCTAGGTAGGCTGAGTCACTCATTTACACTTTAGACATATAAAGAAATAAGAAGACATGCAGTTCTATTTTCATACTGTTTAGAAATAAGTTTGTATGTGTGTCCTGGATAATTCTTTCATGCAGGTTGTCTTTCTGTGACTTGGCTGGATCAGAGAGGTGTAATAAAACACAAGCCTTTGGAGACAGACTAAAAGAAGCAGGAAATATTAATAATTCTCTTCATATCCTTGGAAAATGCATTGCAGCACTGAAGCAAAATCAAAATCCGAAGTAAGTGATAAGTTGTAAACAACATGCTGAGTTTTCGGTTGAAACCCTAAGCATCCGTTTATGTTCCTGCAAGGGATTCACATGGTCAGAGAAAAATACACATCTACAAAATCTTGTAAGCTGCCTTTTTTCCAGATGTCACTGGAAAGCCTGAAATGAACATTCTTTCTCTAAAACTGTTTTTTTGTGGAGAACAAAAAAAGGCAATTAGCAGCAAACTACCAAGCTTTTTTTCAGTGTGTGCATATGAGCAATGTGCTCTGTGTACAGATCTCCTGTTTTGTCCTCTTCCCTTCCACCTCCAAATTACACAGGTGGACTCATTTGACAGTTGACAGATAATCCTGTACTTAGCCTTTGGCTTGTTCCAGGATCTGTTTTGCAACACTAGGGAGCTGTGATGCAGACACTTTTTGCTTTTTTTACTTTTAAATAGTGTCATTTTTTGTAAGCTTATGAGATCCAGGAAAGACCTTGCTCTTTGATGTGAAACAGCTTAGGCTTAAATATGAGCATCCTACTGGATCTGTTTCCTGAAAGAGAAACAGAATTAACCTAAGTTACAGTATTGCACGGGCCTTTTACAATTTTTTGTTCCACAATTTTATTATTCTTTTTTCCATGAGGTTGAAGCCGAGCTATATTCCGTTCAGAGAGAGCAAATTGACTCGTCTGTTTCAGCCATTCTTTTGTGGAAAAGGCAAAGCTTGTATGATTGTAAACATTAATCAGCATGCTTCCACATATGATGAAACACTACATGTAATGAAATTTTCAGCTATTGCCAAACAGGTAAGAGTGCATCTACTTTCTCTGCTATTCTGCATTCTTTGTTACAATTGGTTTGTGAAATGATCCGGTTTTATGGACTTGAGTGTGATTAGGACTTTTGACGCATCATATTAATTCTTCTGCATATGGCTTCCCTCTAAAAGGCTTCTAGTAGTCTTGCCCATTCTCAAACCTACTAGTGGTGAGAAGTTAAGATAGCTGCAGCTGTCTGTGGCTTGTTCAGTTCTACACCACAGACATTCTGTGTAAAAAGTAGTCAGAGCACTTTCAGATATGACTGGTTATACCATATATCTGAGCAAATGCAAGATACTGATTCAAGCTTTTGATGAATTGTTTAACCTGTGTGCAGTTAAGCATCTGTTGCACAAGATGACAATTGTTCAAAACTTCTTGGACAGCTAGTAGTGGTAGTAGCCTCTTATTTTGTAGTCTGAATGAGATCTCTTGTGCCTGCATTGCTCCTATTTGGCAAGTGCAAGTAATTAATAACAAACAAAAATGGAAGACTTATTTGTAAGTTAATGCTTTAAGGTAGCGAGCTCCCCTCCTTTGAAGGCAAAAAACTCTGCTAAATGTACATGCTTTCATGCTTTTTCTGCTAGCTCTACTTGTCAGCCTCCCATTAAATTCAGGACTTGGGGTTGATGTTTGGTCTTAAATTCATTCAGCTTCCCTAGAAGCTGCTTCATGCAGGGAGTGGGATGGTGAGCTATACTGTTTCGTGGCATAAATAAAGTCCATTTCTAGTGTGGAACCATGGATTAGTTCTGACATGTTCCAAGTCTGTAATGGCATGTTTATTAAGATCTGAGAGAAAAATTTTTCTAATTCTGTTTAGCTGCAACTTTCGTCATAAGATAAGAGCATGCACTGAGGATCAGCTACACTGATACGTTGTCCTATGACATACATACTTAAAATCTTTATGTAACTAGCATGAATTGCTGAATCCTTGTCACAGTATTTCAGGAAGGAGCAAGTGTTTTAGGGATTTGCTGCTTTTTCATTAACTTTCCAGGAAACTACACCAACACCTAGACAAGCATGCTAAGTTTGTTAGTAGATAATTTTTCCCATTTTCATTTTGTTAGAGTACCGAAGTCTTTTATTTGTATTGATAGAAGTTTTTGTCTGTTAAAAGCCATGTAAAATTTTGTTCTTGTATGTTCTTGTAATCATTAAATATAGTATAAATACAACAACGCATTCATGCCACTTCTTTCTAGTATTCTGATATCTGCAATATTGACAGCACTGACAAATCAATGCATCCAACTCTGGATTTTCCAGGTAATCCAGACAATCCTACCCAAAAGTTTTGGTTACTTTCCACCCAAGTTAGTTGGAGGCGATGGCAAACCTATCATACACTTTGCTAACACATCTGTAGATGACTTTCCTGACAGTACTGAAACCTCCGTAGAAGAGGATGTGGACATCACCATTCTGAGTCATGAGGTAGATACACATCTACTCAAAATTGTACCCGAGAAATCCATTGCTATTAGTTCTAATATTAGAATCTTTTACCATAAGAGAAGTGCTGGAAGCTGTATCAAATGAGAACTGTAAGCTTCTGCTCAGTGTCAGGCAGACCTAGACTTAGTGGTCTAGTTCTGAGGGAACAAGTGTAGCTGTGGAAGGCTGCCTGCGGCTTTCTAGTTAGGTCAAGTGCTAAATTTGGAATTCAACTGATTGCTCAACAAGAAGAGTAAGGAAGCAGTATGTGTGTTTAAAACAACATTATTTAGTTGTCTGTGCTTTTTTGGGAACAGCAGGAACAAGTTAAGATGCAGCATTTTAAAAACAAAGCTATACAATCTAAGAGCAATAAACTGTAAAAATCAAGTAGGCTTTATGCTAAACGGTTATACAAATTAATATTTAAATGCCAAAACAGTAGTAAACTTTTTGATAGCAGAAACCATCAAGGTGGAGAAAGGTTGTCTTTGCAGTAGAAATTCATGTTTGAAAATATTTAACCTTTGGTGCAGCCCCCTTGAAAACATAGGCTTGTAGAAATGCCCTCTGTGGATGGCTGTCTGTATGAATATTTCGTTTGACATGCATATAAATGCGTTTCTAGCTTGTTTTCTGAATTGAAATATGTTAAATTTAGGATCTCTTGAAAACTACAGAGAACCTAAAGGAGAAGCTAGTTGCAGAAAGGCAAAGTAAACTCCTTCTGGAGGTGAAGATACGTAGAGAGATGGCAGAAGCAATGTTCCGACAGCTGTTGGAAACAGAGGAAGCCTGGAGGCAAGTCATACTGCAGTCCTCTTCAAGACCTAAAGGATTCCACAGATATAAATGCATACATTTTTATATATACACATATGTATGTATATACTTATATACGTATGTGCAAGACATGCATACTCATGTTATTTAGAGGAGTTAGGGCTGGACATTTTCAAAGCTTCTGATGAAAAGGGAAGAAGGAACATTAAAATAAACTTGTACAAATCAGCCTCTTCCCATGTACAATGAAAAAGTTATGCTGCTTTCTGTTGAACTTTTCTGTTTAATTTGTAATTACTGGAAATTGTCCTGGCTTGTTATTAGTGTTTAGCAGATGTGGAAGACTGTTACAGATACCTCACTGAGGCTTGTGATTGTTTCAAAACTTACACTTGGTCATGTTAATATGCATGCATGTGCTTAAGGTGGTTTGGATTATATCTCTTTGAGCTCTCCTGGATTCTTGCTCCTCGATGACTTATGAACCATTGTTAGCTTACTATCTCATAAATTACTGTGGCTGCTTGCATTGATGTTACTAATTTGGGGATTTTTTTCAAGTGTGTCCAGATTGCTCAAGCTGAATTCACTTCCTCTTAACTCTTCTTTTCTTGAAATCAGTTTCCTGCTGTTTGAATTGCTAACAGAGACTAACCCCAAGTTTAGTTTGGTTTAACACCTGCACTGACTTAAAAATTGTTTGGGTACCTTTGGCCGAACACATGAAACAGCAGTGATACTTTTTCGCTGAGGTGATGTTCTGTGTCACTGCTGGGCCATTTTTTCTTTTAAAACTGTGACAGGAGTAATATGTAATGTATAAAATAATAAGGCAAAATGAATTTGGCATTTATCTTTAAGGGCGGGGGGGGGGGGGGGGGGGAAACAACCACCCAATGTGAAAGGCACTCCCAGGAAATATGCTTCAAATATCAGGTCTAATTGGGTGTAGTCATATCTATCACTACATGTTGGTGGATTTTTTTTTTATAAAACTTTTGTTTGACAGATCTTAAGTATGTGTTCTTCTATAGCACTTTTCTTGGTATATGCCAAGTAGAAGTTAAGCCTTCGTGCACGTCTGTAGGATCACTGAGAATAAAAAGGAGAAAAGGGAGAAAAGTACTTCTTGGTCTCTTAACTTCACTATTTATGATTAGATGAGTAACTTTGATATTGCAGTTGAACACATGTAGTCAAATTGTAATAGCTGGAATGGTAATATATTAAATAAAACTAACACTTTTTCCTCAGCAACCGCTTGGAAGATATGAAAGACAGTTATGAAGAAAAACTGGAGAGCAAATTTGAAATGTATAAAGAGGCCATCAAGAAACATGCATATGTGTGTGCAATGGAACAAATTGAAGACCATTATGTTCCCATAGAAGAATTTCTAGCTGAACAAAAGAAAGTTGAGGTATAACTTGACTGCTGCTAAAAAATGCGTGCTAGCCTCTTAACTGTAAATTTTGCTTTTCCTTAACAGAATCATTTGGGAATCCTGAATGTAACACTGAACGGTCAAAATAACTAGCAGTTCAGCCTAGCTGTTCTGGTGTCCAGTGCTAACCATAAGGATAGAGATGTCTTCTGTCTAACACTACCTGTAGTGTATACCTAAACTTCCTGATCTTTGAGGACACAGTTCAATTAAGTCTAAGTCATCTTTATCTCTGTAGTGAATGATTGGAACACCTAGAGGGATGGTGTATACAGCAGTCTGGCTTTGTGGAGGTCCTTGGGATTGTAGTGCGTATAGAGTAAAAAGCTAGTCTAAAAGGGCTGGTGGGGAATTCAGTAGTATTCAGGGTAGCTATTTTAATAATAATGGATCTCTGCTCTGAAGGTCTAGAGGGAGGATTGTGGGATAAGAAACTGTGATGAGAAGTCAAACTTTATGCAGGAGACAACTTAATATCCTGAATGTACTTATACCTAGAAACTGCTCAGAGTTGGCATGAGTAAGTTGCTATTCTTTTTGCAACTGAGCCATGTTAGCCACGTGCAACTCTAGCAGTCTTTACTTCTAGCCTCTGCATAGATAGCTAAGTGCATCCAGGCAACAGGTGAGACCTGTGGGTCTCAGTCTTTTCGGAAGGTCTGTAGTGGAAGAACAGAACAATTGTGGTATACACCAGAGGTGCTTTCTCATTGCACTCTCCTGTCCAGGAACCGGTAAGACATCTCACTCCACTGGTAGGCAGGTTCCTTTCAAGGCATGAGGGAAGTGGCTTTCTGTTGTAGATTGTGATATATAAACATTTCTGCTTTTACAGTTCTCTAGTCAGGTGCTGACAAGCAACACTTTATTGTATAATGGCCTCTATTTTTCCAGCTCCTTCACGCTTGTCTTTTTTTCCCCACTTAGACTCTGTTTTTATGTTCGCGTAAGTCCTAGCTATACACTATGTTGGGGTGGAGGAAAAGAGCTTTAATAGTGCTCTCTGTATTTATAGCTGCCTCTTACACTAGCCACAAGGCTGCATAAGGGAAGATTCAAAGAACAAGATAGTCTTGGTAGCAAGTCGGATAAGAAACTGATGAAATCCCTGAGATGGAAAATTCTTGATTGACAAAGGAAAGCACAACATGAAATCTGAGCAGGCAGCTTCAGAGAACCAGAATTAAATTAATAGCTTTTCTTGATGGTGACTCTTGTTTGATTTCTCACTCTGAAAAACCGCCCTAGCAATCTGACAGGTACTGAAAACAAGATTGAGATTAAAACTTAATTCTATGAAATATGTTCTTCCTTATTTAGCAAGCTAACTGGCAACAGTGTTTAACACAGATACACTAAAGTTTCCTTTCTGCCATATAGTTACTTTTAATACAGTTTGGAAATCTTCAGACTGGAAGAGTTGACTCCTGTTTAAAGTAACTTCCTTCTAGAAGGTCTCATGATCTGAGTGTTATTCCTTACTGTGATTTCTCAACTATAACCATCACAACTTCCACCTGAAATGATTTTAAAACTGAATATACATGTGTAGTGTAATTGAAGGACGTGCAGTAGTGCATCAGGTTAAGCAGAAATTTAGACAAATTCTACCATGTGCCCTTCTTTTTTCAGGATAGAGAGAGTAAAATACTGCAGTTGGAAAGGCAGCTTGATGAACAGTCAGGGAGGCTGTTGGCTCTGGGAAGTCTGAATTCAGATATACTGGCTACTGAAAATAACATGGAACTCGGTAGGAATCTAATATGGATATTCAAAGTTCAATTTACTTTTGGTATTGTGTTTAAACAAGCAAACTTTTCTTTTGCCTGTAGATCTTATGAACAAGATGAAGAGAGCCAATGAAGAATTGCAGAAACAATGCAGAGAGAAAGAAGAGGTAGCTCTTGCTTAGTATTTAACAGATCTGGGGATAATGGTCCTGAACTCTGGCATGGTTCAATGCTTCAAGATCTGCACTGTAGACAAAAGCATGAAAATTTCCTGTAAATGGGCATCAGGTTTACAAAAAGCCCTTGCCCAATTGTGGATGACTTTTGCCAGAGATGGGCTGTGTTCTGACTTTACTCTAGTTTGTAAAGGCATCTACTACTGTAACAAGTCACATGGTGTGAGTTGGAAGTAGGGAAGTATGTATAGCCTTGTATTGGAATGTGTTGCAAACGTTGCTGCCATGGCCTCAGTGCTTTCCTTCCTGAAATGCTGCCTGATCGTGCACAGGGGAACAGTTACAGAATCTGGTAACAGTTTAGATCTAAAGCTGAAATAGTGCCTTAAACTAGTTCTTTCTGTAAGTACTGAACTCCACTATCCCTTAAACTTAAGTAAAGGGTAATGTCTCTGTTCTTCAAACAAGATCCTCATGTTCTGAATAGCGTATAGAGGTGGAAATTAGGAGCTTCAGGCTGTGTTATGGAAAACAAATATTAATTATTTTTAGGTATGCATTTTTAGTCTATACCTTGAATGAACTTCTTGTAAGGCCACAATTAGTTTCCCATGTTTAAAAAGGATGGGAAGAGACAAGCCTTGTTCCTTTCACTAATAACAAATAGGAGCAGGGGTTGGAGAAACAGTTCCAGCTGGTTCTAATAAACCATGTAAATGGAAAGTGAACTTAAATCCCTTTCTGTTGAGAAAGTGTACTCCAAAAATAACTTTTTCCTTACCAAGTTTAATGTCTCCTGTTACAGCCCTGGCATTTGTTTTCCACTCCTGTTCTTGAGAGTTCTACATAATTTTCCATTTCCTATGTCAATTTCAAATTTTGATGCTAGAAAGAAACTTTGGCTTTTATGCTTGATACGGGGATACAGTATTAATTGTTTTGTGTGGCTAGAAAGTGTTAGAATGATGGGATTGCTGCCTGGCAATAACTGAAGTGAGGGCAGTTTAAAGCAGTTGGTTCCATCACTGCATCCTTCTGCTGCTTTGCCTCACATATCTGTGCATGTGTGATGAGTAATTCACTACTTTTTTTACTTCCCTCTCATTCAGCCATTAAATACGGGCAAAGGTTGTTTTGTTTTTTTTTTTCAATCTAGATATTTTTCTCTCTAACCTTGTAGAAGTAAATTAATGATATAACATTAATTCTGCTGGTTCAGAGTTTCTTTTCCGTCTCAAGACTTAATCACCAATATTCCCACCAGAAAGGTGGGGTCTTCTGTTGTAACTGTGCTCCAGTTCATTAAATGAATAGTGTTAATGACACAAGAGCATTCTTTTAACTACCCTTTCTGAAAAGGAGCAGACTGTTCCAGAAGTAGCTTAGTCTGTGCGGCTGTTCTTTGATTGACAGGTGTGTGTAAATCTAGTAGCTTCAGCAGAACAGCCCTTAAATGCTCCAGCTGTATTTTATCACCAGAAATGATGGTTGGGACATAGGAGGTTGAGAGAAGCAGGCTTCATCTTCATTGCTTTGATCTTGCAGTTTGCACTGTTCAATATTAAACAGAAATTCTTACAGTGTCTATACGACTTTTAGTCATAAACAAAATTCATATGAAACATGCTGTCTTGAACTTCAGTCTGTATGGGTTTTATTTTCAGCTTATAAAATCTCTGAAGTTTAAAATACAAAAATTAAATGAAACCCTGCTAGAAGCTAATGAAGGCTACAAAAAAATGGGAGAAGAGAACAGTCAACTGAAGCATACAATCATGCTCAAGGTTTGTCAACAATTTAAAAGCAACTTTAATATGGCTTGTATCTATAGTTGTACTGGATGTTTCTGCGTCTTTGTACATGTAAAAACACCATTCAGTCTGAAGGGACGGGATGCCATCCAGAGGGA